CGTTATTATTCCTATTGCTATTATTGTTATTATAATAATAATGATAATAATAATAACAATAATAGCAATAGGAATAATAACGTTACTTGCAAATTGTAAGTTGACCAAGTGAAGAAGAAGGAAAAATTAGTATCTTTCCCATCGTTTTTGTTGTTGTCGTCATCAACTTTGATGTCATTGTTTTAGAGTTTAATTCACTTTTTTTTTCTTTTACTAAAGACAGAATAGTCAAAGAATTAATTAGTATTTGTTTGTTCCTTTTTTTTTGTGCTTTCCCTTTTTCATCATTACCTGCTTTTTGTTATCTTTTCCTTTCCGCACAATTTGCTTCTTGCTTTTCAGTAAATCTCATTAATCTCTTATTTGAACTTAATTATATGTATTTGTATGTTGTTGTTTTAGCCATGAAACGTAGGAGAGAAAAAAAAAAGAAGAGGAATGGGTATATTAATGATGATGGTGATGGTGATGGCAATGATAATGGTAATGGTGGTGGTGATGGTGATGGTGGTGGTGGTGATGATGATGATAATAAGGTAGAAAAAGCTTCAATTTAAAATTGCTAAATTGATTGATGGTAATAAAAATAAAAATGGAAAACTGTGTGTATAAAAAAAAAGAATTATAAAAGAAAAAAAAAATAAGGTCTTTTTTTTCTCGACTAAAAATTTTAGATTTTTTAGCAGGTTTTTCTCTCCTTTATCCCTTGTTTTTGCTCAGTTTTTAATTCTGTTCTCAGTTCTAAATATACACGAGAAAAAAAACGATTGGGGAAAGGAAAGGAGAAGTTGGAAAAGAAGAAGCCAATAAATTTGTCACCTTAATTTACTTGCTTGGCAATGTTTATATTTGCTTCATATTGCTGCTTCTGTTTTTTTTCTCCTCTCTGAACTCACACAAACCGACATTATTTCTTCGGCTCTTCCTATTGCTCGTACGAAAAACCTGACTAGAAATGGAAAACGTGAGGTGGGAAAAGTGAGAGGAGGGCCGATAACGGCTAATTATTTAGATACAACAGAATAAACCTATGGTATCATAGCAGGAAAAAATAGTAACGGAAAAAAATTAAACAAAATTATTTTACCTACATTTTTAGATTTGTTTTTTTTTTAATCAGGAAATAAGCACGAAAAAGCAGGAAAAAATTTGTGAGAAAAAAACATAAGCAAAAGAAAGAAAAAAAAGACATTTCTCAAGTATTTTTGAGCATTTTAAGATTAAGTAAAGATTTTTGGACAAAATAGTGATGATTTTAAACTTTATTCTGGCATATGACATCATACGGTATCATCAGTCATAATCACCAGTGCCAAACTTTTAACAGTTTTTAATCTATTCTTTCCCAGCTGGGTAAACAACGAAGCAAGACTAGAGCCATATTTGATGGCTTCGTCCAAACAGCAGTATTCTTCTGAAATTTCAATTGGATATTTTTCAGATATTTTCAAGGCAGGTTTTGTTGGATCGTCTAACAGTGCTAATCACATTGCCCGCTATAGATGTTAAGCAGACAGATTCAGTTGGAAGAATGTACTAAATGAGCACAGGGTTAAGATGGAGAAGAAGTGAGGGGTAGAAGAACTAATGAACGTCACCTTAATGAACCAAACTTTCAGTTACCTGGAGATCAGCTGTTTTTTAAATGTTGCTAATTTTGTTTGAAGTAGCGCTCAGCTGAAACTCTGAAAAGAGGACTAATTCCATCCCTGTCTTTCTGCATAAAATTTTATCTTTCTGTTTACTTGTTTTTTCTTTTTTTTTTGGCAACAAAAACGATAAGGTGATGATTTCTAGAAACATAAAAGAAGTGCAAGGAACAGGGAGGAGTTGAGGAGGAAAATGAAGGAAGAGGAGTGACAAAAAAAAAAAAAAACTAATTTTTTTTCCCATTTCTAATGCCTTTATTCGGCTTTGTTGCGTGAATTATAAAAATGGTGTATTAAAAATGGGAGGAAATTGTGATGAGTGACGCACGCGCGATCAATGACTTGGCGAGGCGAGTTAAAAACCAAACTGAACTATTATTGAAGGCACCGGAGGGCGACAGAATGAGGTCTTTTGTTCTTCTTGTTCCTGTTTTCGTTATTGTCGTTGCTGTTACTGCTGCTCCTGCTGCTACCACTGCTTCTGCCGCTGCTTCTACCGCTGCTGCTGTTGCCAGCTTTTGCCCTCAGTTTGGCTTCTTATTTCGTGATTGTGCTACTTTTTTTCCCAGAACTTCTTATCAAAAATTTCTGACTTAAATAATGAACAGAATGACTAATTTATTTTCAAGTTGTCCTTTTTGCTTATAGACGACAGGAAGAAAGCAGTTTTAAGTCAAAGCAAGAAGAAACTAAGATAGAAGAGAAAAAAAAACATGAAGAAGAAGAAGCTAGACATACAATTTGAAAAAAACGTAAACAGCAATCTAATGAGTAAGGAACTCAGTGACAAGTTGTTGTTATAACGAAGGTTAGGAAGATAGAGGTGAAAGAAGAGCCGAAGGAAGGGGGAAGAAATGAAAAGAAAGAATGAACCAAAAATGATGGCGAAGGTGATATGAAAAAGAGGATTTGAAAAACTTTTGAATTATTTTGAAAGCTCGTGATGACGGTGATGTTGATAGTGACGACGATAATAGAGATGAGGATGAGAATAACAATGATAACTTTTGACTTTCTCAAAACCTCGATTTTTTTACCAGCAAAAATAAAAGCGTTCAATGATGAGGCTTTCTTTACATAGTTTCTCATTCTATGAATTTCATCTTGGATGCATTAATTATGTGCTGATAATAGCTGATACAGTTGATCGTACAGTTAATATCGCCTTGGTGCAACTGGAGCGGTAGCAAAAAAAGTAAAAAACGATAATAATTTACAGATGATGAGAAGTATATAGCTGGAACTTTTTCTGAAACATTAAAGGTTGCTGTTTATATGGATTTGAAGATCTTTGATATATATAAAGCTATAAGTAATTTGTTGGTCGTCAGTTGTTTTCATCTGTTTTATTATTGTTAAGCTTTGTTGCAGTCTTATTTATCGTTGTCTGGTTTCGCGCTGTTTATATGTTTGTTGTTTGCAATTTCAACATGACCATTTGAATCGGTTTTTTTTTTCTTCTATACCTTAAAATTATCTGTTTTGCAGTTATCTTTGATGGAATTAACAGATTCGGAAGCAATACAGATCAGAGAATATGATCAACGTCGTTTGAAACGAGTGATTGTTTTTGTGGTTGTGGTGATGACTGTGGTATCAATTGTATTGGTTGCATTATCGCTGGCTTTAGGACCACAATTGGATCAGTTAGGTAATCTTGACGTGGCGATTTTAAAACCTCCTTGAAGGAAGGACTTTTTTCTTCTTCTTTTTGCTCGATATATATATATATATATATATATATATATA